AAGAAGAGGATTCATACCTTTCCCATTAGCACGTAAGTGAATGTAATGGATTCGACTGGAATTCGAACTCGGGTCTCCGATTTCTCAATCCGAGCCGCTATCCATTACACCACTCCACCGTGCCTGGAGTCCATACGCTCCCTTTAAGGGAGCCGGTTTACTCGCCAACCACACAGGTTTTGAATTCATAGTTGTCCTTCATCCTAGATCGTTTGATCCAAGTCAGTGCCCTTATTTATTCATATTGCAAATGATGTAACGAACTCAACTAGAATTCTAACTCGGCTCTCCGATTCCTCAATCCGAGCCGCTATCTATTACTGCTTTACTTTCCATAAAAGGGAAAATAGGGTCTTACTGAACCGTGACACTCTACATAGCCGAACAGTAAGTCGCACTGGATTAAACAGAGGTACCCCCCAGAAAGAGGGAAGCAATTTCGATTGCTTGCGGAGAGCACATTATATTTATTAAGTTTTCTCGATTACGCAAGTCGACAGATATACTGCACAATGGGGCTTCTGATTCAAACACGAGGATCCATTTTATCTGATCATATCTAACTAATCTTGTTCAGCTCTTTCTAACTTTGCAGATTCCTGCTCATTTACGTATCGGAGTAGCGATATGCAGAATTGAAAGTAATTTCTTCTCATACATCTGTAGCTTCTGACACTCTTAACAACAAAAAAGACTCTAAAATAACTTAACCATTGGCTTTTCTCATGCATTTTAAATCAGCCTAAGTCACGCTATTTATATTTATATTTTGCGAGACTTGAAAAATCTCGCTTCTCTGGAGGCACCGACTCTGCTTGGTAAATACAAAATATAGACGGAAAATAAAAATTCTATGTATGTAAGCTAGTCTAAATCTGACCTTATAATAAAGTCTATGTAATAATAACATTTTAGGTATTCTTTCTCTTTTATCTCCAAATTAAGCTTTTAGCTAAGTTAGAACGATCGTTATTAAAACCCTTAATAATCAATCGTTCGCTCATGGGCCCGTTTTGTGCATGAAATAGTTACCCATATTCCCCTCTGTAGAAGGACTGACGGTTAACAGCGTGAAAAAAAGAAATCTGGGAACCGAGTTCAGTTTCTAGCTAAGACAGTTTGTATTTACTTTGCACGAAAAAAACCCTGGAGAAATCCAACGCTTTTTCTTTCAACTGTGTCAAAAATAGGAGGGCGGTCAATTCAGAATTTGGGAAAAAGCAACAGAGATCTACGATAATCTTTCTGAATCTCAATTCAAATTTTACAGATAATACAGAAAAGGAAACTGTGAAGGGCCATGATCTTCCGAATCCTGAAGCGGCATGGTACATAAAGAAAAGCCGTTTTTAGAGGCCAGAATTTGAAATGAAATTCTTTCGTCCTGGGTATTGACGATAAATTACATCCTGCAGCAATGCCTCTGATCGCGAGGTTAGAGGTTTTAAGAACCTCTGCTATTGTTTCCACGTCCACCATAACCCGAAGTGGTAAACCCTGTTAGGGTCGCTGTTAGGGGTAAATAGTGAACCCCCAAAAAAGATCAACAATACATTTTTATTATAAAATGACCAATAATAAAGTTTTATGGAAAAATGACCAATACATTTTATGGTAAATTTACCAAAAATTCATCTTTTATAAAAAAAAATTAACAATATCTGTTATGTCCTACAAATTATACATTAAAAAAAAACATACCTTAGCATGAAATTATATATAAAATATTTAGATTTCAGCATTAAATAACGCATACAGGTTGATATGCCGCTAAACAAAATTACCCAACTAACCAACAATCATGTATATGCACAAAAGCTGAGTATTATCTACCATGTATTCATTTGTGAAAGCAGAATAACATACGACATATTTTTTTGTTACTTTAAAGCTCCCAAGAAAATTAAATTTTGGATAAAAATGACCCATAAGAGTGTTGGTATGTCGTTACGCAAGCAAATCAATCAGTCCAATCCTCTCTTTCAAAGCAGGGCATTTACCTTAAAAGAAAGTTTGTCACAGCAAATCATCAAGCTTCTTGTTTCTCTCCATTTATGTCTTTGTGCCAGGCTAAGCTAAAATCCATCTTATTGTAGCGTTTTATGACAACGTTCAGGTCGTTTAATTTTATGACCGTTTCTTTTTAAAGAAACGGCGTCGTTTGCAAATCCCCATTATGTTCCCAACCAGAGTAGACTTGTCCAAAAAATAAACTGTTTGTGCCAATCACGGAGCCAAATAGTTGTATATTTGGCACTGGTACCAGATTTTCAAGTCTTGCACATCTTGTCTTATTTAAAATTCGGCCCGGCAAAATATTTATATCCACCCCCGCATTTCTGTTCCTGTCGTTCTAGCCTACCTTCGCATATATGAACAGGAGAAAAAATTCCCAGAGTTAAATCATTAAAATATCCATGTTTGACGAGTCCCGATGATGTCGGGGGCAAGATCAAATCTTGCCGGTGGTTACTCCCGGGAATGAAAGGAAATTTTTGATTGATATAAACAGAGGGTGCTGAAAAATCAGAATTTAAAAAAAAAAGGGTGCAAAAGTGAGAATCTCTTATAATCTGGGACCGGTGGGGAGCAATAAATATGGTTGGGACATGAGTAAAAATAAATCTCTAAAGAATTCGAAGAAATAGGTCTAAAAATAGGTGTCCATCAATGTATGTAAGTAAAATGCTTTTGAAAATAAATCCAGTTCTTCAAAATCTGCTTTTAAGCGCTTGCAAAATTATCCTAGTTCTATCTTCTCGTGTCAGCTACTTTTTCCATCCGATCACAGTACATTTAAAAAAATATTATTTCCAGTAATCTGCTTGAGTGAGATGGGTTAAAAAAATAAAGAAATTGAACAAAAGTTGGAGTGAATGTATATTTGGTACCCGAAAGAAGTTCTCTATTTTCTTTTTCGTTAGAAAAGGCCGTAGAGTGTAACGGCCTGGACGTTGAGAACAAAAAGCGACACATCTACGTGTATAATTAAGTATTTGAACAAATTCAAATAAAGCATTGTCTCTACGTTAATGTCAATCAAGCTCAACACAGCTCACTGACTGTCTTTCTGTCGACTGTTTCTTTATCTATCTATCTATCTATCTATCTATCTATCTATCTATCTAATTTTCGTTATCTATCTATCTATCTATCTATCTATCTATCTATCTATCTATCTATCTAATTTTCGTTATCTATCTATCTATCTATCTATCTATCTATCTATCTATCTGTTATTACTATAAACGTTATTTTAAACAATGAAAATGAAATTTAAACAATGAAATTAATATCGACAGGGCTAGAAAATAATATACATGTACCAATAACGTTTAGAGTAATGAGAAATAATGTTGAATGAAAAATTAATTCAACAATTGATATCTATCTATCTATCTATGTCATTCGCTTCACATTTATCTATCTATTTTATAATAATTATATTATCGTTGAACTAGAACGCGGATATATATATATATATATATATATATATATATATATATATATATATATATATATATATATATATGCAATGTCAATCACCATCTTCTGTCTTCCTGAATTCTGTTCTTTATTTATTGGCCTTTCCACACTTCTCAGTAAAGTCCCTTCATTCTCTTTCAGTCCTTGTAACCGTCTGTGTTCTAGTGGAATTATCGCCTTGGTTAGGGTGAAATGATTAAAAATTATAATAAAAAACACTAGACCAGATGTGGCAGCGATATTTAATGCAGGGACTAACGTGCAAGAAAAATAAACTTGCGAGAAAAATCGTCCAGAACGACTTATTGAAATAACTTTTTTAGCAACAGTTTAATCGTTCCACTGTTTGTGAGTACTTAGAAGTTGGCTTTTGGGGTGAGTTTCTATTCTGCAGGGGATGAAGTCCGTGTATTCTGCGACTTGCCACAAATCAGACTTTAAAAAAACAACACCGTGCTTAAGACATGTTAAAAAAAAAAAAAAAAATGTGTTAAGCTCTGTAACGATTTAAAGTCAAATTTATTTGAAATTCTTTACATACATAATATATATATATATATATATATATATATATATATATATATATATATATATATATATATATATATATTATGTATCAATATTACATATTATGTATATATATTATGTATTTTTATTATGTATATATATATTATGTATGAATATTATATTATATATATATATATTTTTATATATATATATATATATATATGTTATGTATCAACGCGAATATATATATATATATATATATATATATATATATATATATTATGTATCAACGCAAATATATATATATATTCGCGTTTATTTGGGGCACCTCCAGGTGGTGTAATGGTTAGCAAGTTTTCTCGCTAGAACAATTATGACTGAGTAGTGAGTTAGATCCTCACTAGGTGCCTCATACTTTCGGCCTTGTGCCACATCTAAGCCACGCTTGGAAAATAACTATTCGCGTTGATTTGTTTGGCAAGATTCACGCGAACTCGATGCAATAACTGCACATTGCTTTTAATTTTATCACATTTACTCTTTATGCATTTATTCAAGTGTGTTGCATATGTGATGTTCATTGAGTACACCTTCTCCTTCAGCAAACCCCAGTAAAGAGAAGTAAAGTTCAATTCTTTCTACTTTAGATAAAACCACTTTTAATCTATAGAGCTAAAGAAAATATAATTAATGAGATTTCCTATGTTTCTAGACTTTAGGGACAATTTGTACTTTAAGAATGAAATACATAGGCATTGCTTAATATCATATGTCACAATTGAGTCTTGCAATCATATCGTTTGTTTATCTTCTCTCAACGGGTGACCGTAAATTAATAAGAAAAATTTAGCGTCTTTTGGTGGTGAAAAACACATGATGTAAAAATTTCTGTCTATACAGTGCTGTTCGATAAAAGTGACTCACCTGATTTTTTTTTACTGAATGTTCTCTTCTCCGATGAAACGAAAGTTGAGCTAAATTCAAAGGATAAGCGATCTAAAATCCGAAGAAGAAGCTTTGAAAGCTCTTTGAATTTAGCAGCAAGCACTATCAAGCATCCGTTCAGTATAATGTTCTGGGGATGCTTTTCTTTTCATGGAACTGGTTTCTTAAAACCTATTGAAAAGACCACCAGGAGCGAGTAGTACAAGAGAATTTTAGAGTCTTGTCTGCTCCCTTCTGCTGAAAGGGTGCAAATCGACCCCACCAAGCTCATTTTTATGCAGGATAATGCTCCCTGTTACAAATCAAAATTGAGGAAGGAATACTTTGATGAGAAGCAGGTGAGTGTTATGACATGGCCGCCCCAATCTCCTGACCTCAACCCCATAGAAAACTTATGGGGCATTATAAAGTACAGGCTCTCGAGAAAGCAGTTGAGCAACAAAGAGGATTTGTGAATTTCATATCCGAATGGAATTCAATGTTTGGAGATGGGATTTGCCAGAACCTAATCAAGTCAATGCCAAAAAGGGTTGAAAAGGTTATTCAAAATAAAGGAGGACCCATAGATTATTAAATATTTCCAACTATATTACCTATTATAAATAAATTATACCTCTATTATTCTTTATTTAAAGCTGTTCAGTTATATTTCTATTGATTACTAGTTGCAGGAAATAAGTGAGTCACTTTTTTGCACAGAGTTTTTCCCTAAATCTCATTTATATTCAAAATTATAATTATCAATAGAATACCTTAGAGCGAGTAAACTTTTTTACTAGGTGGTCGGGAAGGGGTCTTTACATTAGTAAGATTAAAAATTAGTTTGACCCTATAAACAATGGGCGAAAATATTTTTAAGTAAAAAAAAATTCAGGTGAGTCACTTTTATCGAACAGCAATGTATTTCTGAGATGGGGATATTGTAATTATGCATATTATTTACATTGATCGGACTGTTGTTCTCATGTTTACTGTCATATTCACGACGTTTCGGACGTTATACACTCCTGCCTTCTTCAGTAACTGTCTATATTTCTGAGATGAGGTATTGCGATTATTTACAATATTTACAATGATCGGGCTGTTGTACTCAAGGATACATAGAACAGTGTATAAAAGCGTTGGTTTGATACCCTGAGTTCAGTTCCTGGCAATGGTGAACAAAAACTTGGAGAGGTAACTGAGACACCAGGAAGAGGCATAGCATGTGAAACTAGAACAATCTAACATGGCGAAATAAAGGATTAAGCTCGATATTCCAATAACCTGAAGAAGGCCGGAGCGTACAACGGCCGAAACGTCGTGAACATAACAATAAAGACGAGGACAACAATCCGAACCATCTAAAACAACGAAGAGATTTCCTATTAGAGACGCCCTATATAATCATTTAATCGGGAACAAGTGTCATTTTATTGATATATTCAAAACAGCAAGAAGTCGTCTTTCTATGTAGAAAGTTTATTATATATATATATATATATATATATATATATATATATATATATATAGCATAATGAGAAGCAACGTATACTTCCTTAATATGTATATATAGAAAAAGTTGCAAATTAAAAAAAAAATAATAATGTTTTTTATGAAAGTATTTATTTATATTTGATATTTCAGATCGACCTTGATAGCGTACGTCGCGAGATGCGGACGTCACGTGATATGGAACGCCACTGTGTTCGAATATTTTTATTTTTTTAATATATATGGTTAGGTAAATGAGATAACCAGATATTAGCGACCATATACGCGTGTGCTGTCGTGCATACGGTGGTAAGCAAATAATTAATTACCAAATTTTATCCAAGAGGTGTAGACATGATAGTGCTCAATGTGATTAGACAGAGCAAAGAAATATATGTTAATAAATACACATATACCTACCTTTGGTGTGCGACTAAAATTTTGTTGGTTACCCAACTCGTCGGGCACAAAATATAGCTTATATACAAGATATGTTTATATATATATATATATATATATATATATATATATATATATATATATATATTGCCTCCTCTATATTGACTTTCTTTTTCTAAGTGAAACCATTCAGCGTTTCTCATTTGTCTTTTCTAGATTTACTCGCGATCAAAAAGGAATAGATAATTATTTATGCATTGGTAAGGCGTAACCTATGTCTTAACTCGCTAAGAATGCAGAATTATAATATGTTAATAATGTTCTTATTTTTAGAAAGAAAGTTTGTATCGTGTGACGACATTGTAACGTCTTTCTTTCTTGTAAAACTTTGTTTTCGCTTGCCGTCTAAAAGGCTCACCTATCGCATCGCCGTCTTAATGGTGGCCATGTTGGCTGTGGCATCTGCTTCCACTCACTTCTCGGTAGACTTGTTAATTGCTTTTAATGGCAATAATTGAATTCCATACAATTCAACAAATGCCGCCAGATCAACACCTACACAATCTCCTGCACGTTTTTAACAAATTCAGTTCGCCATATTTCAAGTATGTTTCTTTCAAATTTTCAACTGGATTTCTAAATTTCTCTCAGTGTTTCACTCTTTCGGTGATGGCACAATTCCAGAAGAAAAGATGGACAAAATATTGAAGAAGGACAGATAAATAGATAGATAGACAGACAGATAGATAGATAGAGAGAGAGAGAGAGGGGGGAGTGAGAGCGAGGGAGTGAGGGAGAGAGAGAGAAAGGAGAGTAATAAAAAGGACGGTGGTATAATTCTAGAAGAAAGAGAGTAAAAGATGGACAAAAATATTGATGAAAGACAGATAAATAGAAAGACAGACAGACAGAGATAACTGGATATATAGATAGCTATGAATAGTCTTGCATAACTAGTTAAGTAATAAGATTAAAGTAGAGGAGGGACGGTGGAGTAATAGATAGCGGCTTGGATTGAGAAATCGGAGAGCCAAGTTCGAATTCCAGTCGAATCCATTACATTCACTTACGTGCTAACACCCTTGGGAAAAGTGTGAATCCTCTTTCTTCTCCCTCCAGCTATGGGTAAATAGCAGGACAGACTAGGTTCTATAGCCTTGGATGGCAACTGGTCTAGGAGAAGGAAAACTCTGAATTCAAACTTGCTCTTAGATGAGGGTGAATGGAGTCTCTCTGAGCCTTGGTGTTGGTGTCACGATAAAAACACCCTTGATAGCCCTAGCGAAGCATCAAGAATTCAGCTATTTGACAAGATTATGAACTACACCAATCAAAGTATTGGTGAGTTCAATCTCGGTTGAGGCCGCAAGATGATGA